TGACAGGTGGTTCTACAAAGTATTGACTCATTGGGCTGATTACAAATGCATGCCACAGTTTTAAGATATTTATTTGGACAAAACTGAAAACAATTTATCATTTTCCTTCCTACAATTCATTTATGTTTTTGGTTGTAACAGGGCAAAATGTGAAAAATTTCAAGCGGTATGAATACTTTTTCAAGGCACTGTAAATATTCATACTGCCATCTGCAAAGCTCCACACCTACTGTATGTCCCAGAGAATTCTACCACTCTCTGGAAACAGAAGGAGCAAGCAGACTAGCAGCAGCTCAGAATACTGAAATCTTCTAATTAATCAGCTGCACTCATTACATTGAGCACAGCTACATTTACCTGACAGACAATTGCAGCCACATTAATTACAGTGAGACAAGCTAAATGTACCTAACAAAAACACATACAGCTGCTCTGAACACAGTGAGCCAGAACTAAATCTAACTAATCCCAGCACCTACACTTTAATATAAAGTAAGTTAAAAATGAAACAGGAAAAGATGGGTCTGTTTGAACAGAGCTCCTTAGGAAAACTGAGCTGGAACGTAAATCACACAGGTACATTTTATGCCAGCAGTACATTTGTTTTTAGCACTGTTGATTTTGGCATAGGGATTCAGATGCTGAAAACTAGTTAAAATATATGTATTAAGTATTAGTTATCAGTTAAGGCCTATTCAATGCTATACAGTGTGGTAACACATTTGGTACAACAATGCTATACATTGCAGTAACATCTGTTACTGCAAAATATCATACATACTAAGATCATTAATCAAGTTTAGTGAAAACTGCACAGTTTAGTTTTATCTACAGATGTCCCTTACCTGCATAGGCAGTTTTTTGGTAACGGTGAACTATGCTAAGTTTAAACTTTGCTGTATGTTCTCAGAGTTTTTGCCATAATGTGCAAGTACGGACAAATGTTTGCACATTAACCTCTTCACGCCGGCCATGCGCAACTATGCGGACTCTCAGCAGCTGGGCCTTGATGTCAACCGGCCACATATTTGCATACCATTTGTAAACAAACGTGCTGAGAGTGTGCACCCTGCTCGCTCCCAGCACATGTGTCGGTGTCCCATGGAAAGGTCCTGATCTCTCCTTGCGATCGGGACCTTTGCATTCATGTCACTGCCATGACAGCCAATCACAGCAGTCACATGACCCTAAACCCTGCCCTACCTCCTGGCGTCAGAAACCCCTTAAAGGCCTGGGAGGCGCTGGTGCAAAGGGGCTAAAGTAGACTCACCTGCCAAAGGAACTTCTCCAGAGCTGTGTTGACAATGTCTGGATTCAGCATCTTTGGCTATCTTGATTGATTGTCCCTGGATGACTTAACTCTGATATACAACATAGGAGTTAATTCAGTCTGGCACTAGAGGATGCCAGGATTGCTCACTGAGCTGCATGTAGGTGGCTCAACGTACATTTAAAAAACATTGCTGGAAGGAAGGTAAGAAACTTTTTTCAGAATATACATACAAGTGTTGATTCACTAAAAACAAAAAGGCTTGCAGGAGAATTTGTACATTTGTAGGGATCTACTGCCCTACACTGTCTGTATTTGTAATCAGTGCTTACTGCAGAATTTATTGTGTGTAGCACTGTCCCTGCTAGGCTAGTTTGAAAACCCCAGAAGGAGGAAGTGGAGAGGAGCTGACACCACATGTCCACATAAAGGAGCTGAATTACTGAAATTATGTATTTTATCCAGATCAGAAGCAGAGACTATTAGGTAATTTCTTCTATGTTCTAACAGTAGATGCCCATAGCTCCTTAATCTAAATCCTAGTGACAGACAAGTCTTCTAAATCCTAGTGACAGACAAGTCTTCTGCACATATGTGAACAGGCACTTAATGTGAGGTGTGCAAGTCTGTAAACCACATGCTGTGTTTTACATTTGTTTGCAATCCGGACCACACTGTACAACAAAGAAAATTAATCTGTGCAAAATACCAGATGATGAGGAATTCCTAAATCCCCTGATTCAGTGTACACATCAGAAGTTGGCTCTGTGGAAGTTATGCACCATAGAAGACTGAAGCTGTATTTGACACTCTTTAAAGCCCAGGGGGTATATCAATGATAGTCAGTGGATCTTGTGGAAAGCTGAGCATCGTACAGAAAGAATGATTGCCTGCGGCAATGCTCCTCGAGGAAAATTTATAAACATGCAGCTGGGAGAGGAAGTGGAGAAAATTAAAGAGCTGCATGGTTTTCCACCTAGTACCAGAAGCAGGTGGGAGGAGAGAAAAAGGTGAAGCTGAAGTCTTCTTACAGAGTGACAGAGGGTGTCAACATCACACTAATATTGTTTAAAACAATGGAGGAGTGCATGTGACTTAAAGGATAAGTTCACCTTTGGATCATATTACATGTAACTTGTTCCCATAGCCGCAGCCACTCCCCTCCCTCTGACAGATAGTGCGGGTGGAAGTTTCCCCTTACTATCTGTCAGATTTGAAAACAGCGGGACCGTGCAGGGCTCCGCCCACACGGCCACATCACTCATTTACAGTGTTCTGTGAATGAATGCCTACAAGTCCAGGAAGCCTTAGCAGCTGTGGTCTGGTAGTTTCCAATGAACTACTACGGCCCTGTGGAGCACCATGATAGTTCATTGAAGCTTCCTGTCAGTATATCTGCTTGCTCGTACATTCCATACAGCAATCAAATATTCTGACAGGTCTCCAGGAGGCCTGATGGCATCAGAGATCTACTGATTGCTGGTGCAATGCTTTACAGGCTCCTTTGGACAAAAATAATAAATACACATTTTTTTACTTGTAGTGTGGATTTAATATTTTTGTCAAAAAGGTGAACATATCCCTCAATGCAGGGATATTTAAAGTACCCATTTTTTTTCTAACTTAGCACTGCAGTGCTGAAGTGGTTGTGCAGGTAGAAGTTTATTTACTTTAATGCATTCTCTACATTGAGGTAAAAAAACCTTTTGTGTCTAGCTAGGCCCCCATCCCCCCCACAGCCTCCCCCAACCTACCTGAGCCTGATCTCAATTCAGAGCTGTGCCCAAGAACAGTGTCTCTCTCCTTTCTGGATATGGAGGCCATTGGCTGCTGCTTCTGTCATTCACAGCTTGTGAGGAGAGAGCAGGGGTTCAAGCTGATCCACAGGCTTTAGCCCACACAAGTGCTAACATAGCCAGTAGCTAAGTGTTGTGATATGTCATGATATAGAAATAAGGGTGGTAGTATGTATATGATCCCACTATATGGGAATTATATGTTTTCGTTTTTTCCTAATACTACATCAGGGACTGCTCTGGCTCCTGGGGTCTCTATCCATGGATACATGACTCACCCGAGAAGGACATAGTTTCTGGGACTGCACAACTTTTGGTTGCACACTTCCAGTCTGGCGCCATTTTCGTCCACCCAGAACGCCAAGTGAAGAAGGGGAGGGGAAGATCGACATGCCCTGGACACAGCTGCCGCTTGTTAGGCACCTAGACACGGCATGATGGGAGTTCCTTGGAGAGCTCTTGAAGGTATTTTAACTCCAGTTTGATCAGTATACAATATTTTTTAAACTCTGAGGGATACAGCCACGTGCTTTACGACAGGTGAATAAGAGGTGAGATTAGACTGCTTTCTACTATTGTCTAGCCATGTGTTTATGAGAGCATGTTGATGGGACAATAGATGGTGATTGAGTTTGGATATTGATAACTGGTTGTGTTTGGTTCATATCCAGACCAATATAATACTCTACATTTTGGCCAAACAATTTTGAGAGCTAGTGCTATCTGGACGTAATTAGAGAGGAACACCAACACTCCTTTTAAACTATAACCATCATTTTAAATGGGTGAGTTGTCTTTTCTTTTTAATCTGGTATCAAATATTTACGGTTGTTTAGAAGTGTTCATATTCTCTTGTTTAGATGTCTGGGCTCAACCATATTGGATCTATTACTAATTGGATTTATTCAATCACCACTGTTATTGATAGCATAGGAGCAGTCTAATTACCTGCTATTGGTAAGTTTATATATTCTTTTACCTATGTGATATTATGAGTTTTGATGTATTAAGGAGTTTACTCTTGGAATTATTTACCTCTAGGCATCTCTCCCATGGGCTGACAGGCGCATTTACTGAGCACAGCAGCAAAGATATATAATCCTCTTGACTTCTCTTTTACTCATTGAGAGTAAGAAATCATTGTTAATGAGATAACTTACTAATGATTTGATTTATTTTTCACATATACTGTATGGATTTACCTTTGATGTATGTATAAACTGGATATATAATTTGTATTTGATATTTATGTTTTCTTTTGTTCTCTGTTTCAGAAGTTGATTTAATATGATTATATAAACTTCACAATCCTTTAAACCACTTATATACCTTGTTGGTCCTGAGGAAGCGGTGGAAGCCATTAAACGCGTAGACTAATTAACAAGCATATACCGCAAATAAAGTGGTGGTTGTGTTTTAATGTTTTGTCGTATTTAATATTTTTTTATATATTGGAATAAAATTTATATTTTTATAAATTGTATTTACTTGTGTTTACTTGAGTCTGCTAGAGATGCTGGAGATCATCAAGGTCCCAGCTACAGTGTAAGCTGAGGGCCTATTTTCTAAAACCTGAGATGTCTTTCTTACAGTCTGGAGAAGCTCATTGGAGGATACCCAGTGGAGACTGGAGGGGAGATTTTTCAGTGGTCCTGTGGTATCGTGAATCTGTGTCCCTCTCACTGAAGAGTGCCTGGTGGATATCAGAAGGAGGCAGCTGATAAGCCTGTGGCATAGTAAGTACCAACCAGTGGTGGACTGACCATTTGGAAACTTGGGCACTGCCCGAGGGTCCGGGGTCAGTAAGGGGCCCAATGAGATGTCCCTGGTACCTTTTTCATAGGCTTTTTTGAGTTTGGGCAAAGACACAGGGGCCCCATGATCCCCTATTGCCCCGGGACCCCATGAGTTGTCAGTCCGCCCCTGGTACCAACCTAGATTCTGTGCCTAGGGACTGTGTGCAGTTCTCAGTTCTACAAAAGCAGCAAGTCCTAGACATTCTTCAGCAAGTAGTGAACTTTGTGTAACAGGGGCGGACTGACAACTCATGGGGCCCCCGGGGCAATAGGGGATCATGGGGCCCCTGTGTCCTTGCCGAAACTCAAAAACTCCTATGAAAAAGGTACCAGGGGCATCTCATGGGGCCCCCTACTTACCCTGGGCCCTCGGGCAGTGCCCGAGTTTCCAAATAGTCAGTCCGCCCCTGTTGTGTAAGCTCTCTGGCAGGACAGTGAGAAGATAAGTGTCCACAGTCAAGTCAGCTCTTTCAGAGTATCCAGTTCATTCCTTCCCACTCATCCAAGTTCAATTTAGCAATAAAATTACAAAAGAAACCCCTAGACTGGTCATTTTAGCCAGTGAGAAAGAAGAAAATACTGTGTGCTTGGCTGTGTGTGCACTGTATTTGGGGGAATGGGACCATCAAAACCAGTGGCTCCTTGGGGGGCGGGGGGGGGGGGGGCTCTCTACATAAAAACTAAACAACCAGTAAGATTCTATGTTCCTTTTTCCAGTGCATGTTAGGTCACAAATTGACATCTGATTGATTGCTATGGGGCACATGTTTGTTACTTAATTTATTTCTGTTTCAAAATATTTGTCCCATTGGTTTTTGCTTTATAAAATTAATAGCATAAGATCAACAAGTCAGCTTGATACTGGAAGAAAATAGAATGCAATATGTTATGTTAACTTGTAAAACATGTAGAATTACAGCTAATGGTAAAATAAAAGCAAGCTTTACACAATATTAGCTTAAGAGCTGAACTAGTGCAATTTAATATCATCTGGCTCTTTTTCTATTACATAAGAAATGTTGCTCGTGAATGACTCATAATAGACACAGACAGTTCTGTAAAATAGGCTATGTAAGAACATCTTGCTTTACCTTGTCGCTTCAACTCATTTTGCAATAATTGCAAAGCTGAGTTACAAGCAGATACATCCAAGTCCCGAATGTTAATTAAAGGTCTAGACTCTGTGTCTCTGAACCTGCCTCTGGATATTTGTCCACACATTTTCATACCTCAGCCACACAGACAGGAAAATTAGAAAAATGAGTAAATCCGCATGCGCCGCAGTCAAGCCTTTTTCAATTAGCGTGGTTGGAGCTTGCACAAGAGGATCTGCCACAGAGGAAGAGACAGATTATTTGCTGCCGTCTGTCATTGAGGTTTTCGGCCTGAGGCAATGACATGAAGCCATAATCAGAGCTCAGTTTTCCAGTGCTTGAAGATTTCAGCAATGTCCTGCACTGCTGCTGCTGCTCATTCTGCTGACAGCACACCATTACCTTGCTGTTGTTGTATAGACAAAGCAACTATAGGACTTGCAATCTGACAAACATTGTTATCCTACAGATAACCAAGCAAGAAGTTCATTGCAAGCTGTGTCCTGACATAAAGAAAATAGGGTGCCATACAACGCCATATCAACTGAGTCTCTGCAATTGACTGAATGGTGGGATCTGTTGCAATATTTTTCCCTGACTCAGGTTGGCCAAGATGAGCAGATATCCTCCAGAGAACAAAAACAGATTTGTGCCTGTCCTTACACTACTCTGTGGAGCTGCAGAACCTACAATCAGTGCCAGATGCTGACAGCTGTGCATGGGTGGTTGGATGATACTTTGGATTCTACTCACTTATCCATATAAATTTTAAAGTGATTGTTAAGGCAAAAACTGTATTTTTTAAAAATAACAACCATGTTATACTTACCTGCTGGTTTCTCATAGAGCAGCCCCAATCCTTCTTTTCCTGGGTCCCCCGCTGGTGCTCCTGGTTCCTTCCCCCTTCCAAGTGCCCCCATAGAAAGCGGCTTTCTATGGGGGCACTCATGTGTGCTCACTCCCGAGCCAGCTCTGTTTGTCCATTGACACACTTGGATTGATTTACTAAAACTGGAAAGTGCAATATCCAGGGCTGTGGATAAGGGGGTACTACCTGTCCCCCTTTATGGGACCCAGAGTGGCAGGGGGGGCCAGGCAGCTGGGTGAGATGGATGAGGGCAGGGAGGGTGATCAGGGAGGGGGGGGGGGGAATTACTGGAACCGGTCCCTGGAGCCGGTCTCTGCAGCAGCTGAAAGCTGGCTTCCTCTCCTCTCTTTCCAGCTGGATTTCTGTTGCTGCAGAAAGAGCCATATGGGGGATCAGTTCCAGTAATTGCCCTGCTGCCACATCCATCACCCTACCTTTGCACCATATGTTTCCCCCTGTTGCCCACACCCTCCCTATGTGCCCCCACCTTCGCAGTGCTGCCGGCTTCCCTCCTCTCCTTCTCACAGGCAGCTGCAAGCACACAATCCTTCAGGATGGAAAGTGGGGGAAGGGTCCAGAAATATGTCACATTGATTAGTACTGATCACTCACTGTGTTCATTCATAACTGAAGCATAGTAAATTGTTTCTTTTGGGGGAGGGCCTTTCAGATTGGTTGTATGGAGCCCCGAGGTTTCTAACAGCAGGCCTGGCAATATCTGGTGCAGCTCTGCATAGAAACCAACCAGCTTCCATTTTTTTTTGTCAAAGCTTAATTGAACAAGCTGAAGTTAGAAGCTGATTGGGTACCATGCACAGCTGCATCAGATTTTACACTCTCCAGCTTTAGAAAATCAGCCTACAGAACTGGCTGGAGCCTGCCACCTGCTCCCTCCTCCCTAGCTGTGATTGACAGCAGCAGAAGTCAATGGCACCCACTGCTGCCTCTCTGTCCAAGGAGGAAAGAAAGCCAAGAGAGCCTCTGCTCTCTTGCACAACACTAGATTGAGATCAGGCTCAGGTAAGTATAAGGGGGGCTGGGGTGGGAGCTGCATGAAGAAGGTTTTTTACCTTAACGCAAAGAATGCATTAAGGCTCAAAAAAACGTGAGCCTTTACAATCACTTTAAGATATCTCTAGATCTAAGAATATTCATTTAACTGGTCATATACAAAAATCTAAAATCCATCAGCACATTTTAATTACTATTGCAGAGGCTCTAACTGAACTGAATGATTAACATCTAAAATGCTATTGTGACAAAACATTTGTAGAAAGAGTTCTTAAAATTTTGAAGCATCACTGCAACTAACACATTTTTGCCTGTTTGGCTGGCAAAGTTCACATGGGCAGCTATGTTATGATGGCACACATACATATAAACCTGAAGACATCATGGCTCTGTTTCTTCCCTTGCAAAAATCATGTGAAAAATTCTAAAATGCATAGGAGCGGAGCCTTTGACGTCATTGCAGAAACTTGGAAGTGAATAAAGAAAATGTTTTCTCGAGTTGCCCATCTGAAATCCCCTTAAGAGGGCAATGTTTTTTTTTTTTAAATAAGGGATTTTAACAAGCAGAAAACACAATGTGTAAGAGTTACTAAAACTGGAGAGTGCAAAATCTGGTGCAGCTGTGCATAGAAGAAGATAGAAGCTGATTGGCCACCATGCACCGCTGCATTAGATTCTGAGTGTCCAGGTTTTAGTAAATCTCCTCCAATGATGGTTCCAATTTTTTGAGTTACAGGACTTTAGGATTCATATTTTTTATATACATTGGGTGTATAAATATAATTTAGTGTAATTGATAGTTTCCAGCACACAGAACATTTTTTACATTATATATATTTTAAGTTGCATTATTTGTGTGTTTGGGGTGCACAATATTGTGCGTCACTACAGAAATATTAACCAGTTATGGTTTACATCTATTCTAAAGAGTTACGGTATGTTGCATGTGCAGAGCAAAAGAACATGTTCACTTTAGAGCTGCCCTACGCAACTGCTAAAACATATCTTCTATTTGCTTTCCTACAACTCTGTTTGCAAGGGTAAACAAAGCATAACTCACAGAGTGAGAGGAACACATGATGCAATACCACTCCTTCCATGTGTAAAGCCTGTGTAAGCTCCAGTTTGTGGCTTGGCGCTTACAAAGGGCTTCTTCTCTAAGCATGTGAAAAGAATGGCTCTGAAGTAAAGCTGTCCACCAGTATCACCAGCATTGGGTTTGATATCATAGGCATAAAAATCTAAAGATGCCTAGATAAACCAAACAAAAAAAAATCATTTTTATGTAGCTAGTTGTCGGCTATATCAATATGCCTTTTAGTGCCGATTGACATATATGTAAAATTGAATGAGGTTTGAACAGAATCCAATCTACATGACAATACTGTAAGAAATAACAATGCTTCCTATGGTGCCTGTTCACATGTGTCCAGTGCAATGGCAGTGCAGATTGAAAAAGAGTCATGACCAATTTCTGAGCAGTGCAGTCCTGTTTAGGTGTAGATTACAGGCAATTGACTTCTATGGAAACCATTTCTAAACTGCACATGTGTGAACAGGATAAAATCCTGACCTGAACCGGTCCTAAACAGGATGTAAACCTGCCCTGAACTGCTGAACAAACACTGTGTCGATTAGCTGTGAAATCTGAGCTTCAATCCGCACCGCACATGTGTGAATCAGCTCTCAATGACATTTACATATGAGACTATGGAAAATCCTTTATCCCCCTAGTGCCCAGTACTGGGACTGTTACATCATTTCCTGTTATCCTTGTGGATCCAGTTCTTCTAACAGCAGAGGATCTTGGGACCTGCTGATGGGGCTCCAACTACCAGAAAGCTGGGGAACCAGAAGGTTGCTCGAAGAGCAGATATATTCTACAGTAAGGAACTGCCTCGCTCTTTTGGCATGGGATGCAGAGCTGAACACAGGGGGACTGCCGTTCTCCTCCAGAGACAGCTTGTTTGCCTACTGCTGCGGGACTCTGAACATCAATTCAGCACAACAGTGACACCAATCGCCACACCGGGATCATATCATCTTCTCTGCATCAGCACTGTCACTATCTAGTCTTAACACATACATCTCGGCTCACTGCACTGACAGGTTGTCAGGCAGCAACTCTGTGCATCCCTGAAAACAGCCAAGAGCTTGAGCAAGAAATCTTTTCCTTGGAGGCCTTGCTATCCATGGGATTGGTGAGTGTCTCTAGAGTGATGACAGAAGGAGGTTGGCAGAT